TCAGCAGGATTGTTTTCTGTGCTGTATTGCCCTTTTTTGATGTCAATGTCCTTCTGTATCTGAGGCCTTATCACAAGTTGTACATATTTTAGGATGTGAAGGACTGTGTTTAGACTAGGCACAGGTATTACTTGTAGGAACTGTGTAGGGTTTGATGGTACAGTGACAAATAAAAGGAGACTGAGGAAGTGGTAGATGATCAAGAGGGCAGGTCAGTAACAGAAAACTAGACAAACTTCTTTTTATGCTGGGCCATATCACTGCAGCCAAGTACATGGTCATACATCTAGGAACAAGGAATGTCAACCATGGTCATAAACTGAGGTCATAAAGTTAGGAAATTGCAACCGGACTGTGATTGCTACAGTGAATCATCAGCTATTGCTGTAATTCAGGAACACAAAGGGGGAGAAATGTTTTTGAATCAATGCTTTTTACAGTTCAAGTGATATCCCATGTAAAGGACCTGTTTTCACTCACATAATCTGGAGTTCCCTCAAGCAACTTGATCAATACTGATATAACTCACGCAGTTCATGGTGTCCAGGCTTGGTTGAAAACTCAATCACAAAAAGATCCTTCCCTTCAAAACTGCGACCTATGCTGTAAGTTGTTGCAATATGGGAGCATTTAGAAGCAGTCTTCTTCAGTGTGCTCACCATTTGGGAGTATGAATGGTGTTTGAACTGAATAAAAGTTGCTGGCAAGTCTGAAGGCAAATCTTCCTCAACCTCTACTTCTCCTGTAAAGAAAAATTGTAACACAGTGTTTAAAACCATGGTACTCAGAGGACTGCATGAATACCTGTACTTTTCTACAAAATGTCTTTTTCAGTAGTAGAATTATAGAAAATACAGCCACAATCAAAACCTTAAATCCATGTAGTACATCCTATGCTGTTTATTGCGGCATATTTTGTTTGCAAAACTGTACTAATGCATATGCACACTAACAAATATCTTGTGCAATCTCCAGTTGTAATTTGGCCTTTGGTATGCTTAGCATATTTTAGTCACAAAACGTACAGATTTTCCCCTTTGAATCTGGTGGATCAAATTCATTTTTTATGAGATTCAGCTGTCTTCAGCTACCTGGATCTTCTTCATCCAAACAAAAAATCTGTGACAATCACTAATGAGATTATTTTAATGAGCTGTTAAGCTTGTCAAGCAGTCATGAATTTGTAAGTGCATTAAAGTTTCAGTTTTTAAATAGAATATTTCAAATATACAGACAGCTATCACACAGGGCAGGGTTTGTCTAAATGCACAATGGCAGTCCAAACATCTAGCTCTGAGCTGCCTGTCTTGCTGCTCTTTGTATGTGAGAGAAACAGGTGATTCTTGAGCACAGTTTAATTAAGTGTTTAAAATAGGTGGAACAAAATGAATCATACCTTACAGGTGTCTATAAAGACAACCTGAGATGACAAGCGGAGAGATTTTGTGCCATAGGCGTGTCAAGCTGAGTGAAATGAGACCCTTCCCATCTAGATGAGTAAGATGTGTCAGCAGAGCTTCCTTCCTTACCTCGCAGCTTTGCCAGTGGGTCAAAACATCCCTCTTCTTCCCCAGCGAAAAAGCGGTCGCAGTCTAAGAAGTAGGGCCAAGCCATGTCTATTGCATCAAAGGCAGGGAGGCAATTTTTCTTCAGGTTTTCACAGACATGCCTGCAGGGCTTTATAACTTTGTCCTTTTCGCACTGCGGGGCCAGCACCGAGCAGCCCAGGAGCCTCAGGTCCGGATTGCATTCTCCCTGGAGCAAGTTGTGCAGCACACTGATGAGGATGTACTCAGAGCTGTACTCAATCACTTCTCGAGACTTCTGATCCAGAAGATTAGGATACATCGTTTGAGTATAGGCAACATCAGTACAAGAACTTAAGGCAATGTCCACGCATTTTGCTATGAAAAGGATATGAACATATGAAAAATAACTTGCATCACTGACACTCTGAATAGTTCAAAGACAACGAAACAAATAACACGTTCAATTAACTTTTTTTTTTTTGTTCACAGATAGACTGGAGGCAGTTTGCAATACTCTCAAATGAATTTGATGTCTAAACACACTTATAGAAAGATGATGGAAAGTACGCTTAGTCTGGAGATTGATTGTGAACAGTTTGATGCAAGTAGACATCATTCAGAATTCAAATGGTATCTGACAATTTGATGGGGCATCAGAGGTTATCTGATTGATAAGCACTGTTCCTAACATAAGATTTATTTTGTTAATTTAATACCTGAACAGCAATGAAAGGGCAAATCCCTGGCCCGAAAACACTGGAGTACTGGGCCCACATGGGAGTTCCTTTAACAAATAGCTTGGAAACCACCAAAATTAATAAAGCCTGGTTTCCAAAGGAAAGGCTATCTCATACTCAATTAAATCTTATCTGATTTAAATTAAGAATACAGTTTGAGCTTATTAAACCCCAGAGAATCCATAAGAGAGAAAAATGCTCTATTGAGGTGTGAATTTGCTGGTGTCTAACAGGGAAAAAACTCAGATTCTTGAATGAAGTGTATTTGTGATATCACTCTCTCCCCTGTCTTTGCCTTTTAGTATGGATTAACTGATGAGGTGTGAGATCATATAAATTTTTTTCTTTAGTGGGTATCAGTAAGATAGCTCTCTTCTTTGCTTGGCCCCACAAAATTTGTAATACTTCAGTATCTCTGAAACTGCAGACCCTCTGTGAAGTTTGATTGAAATTGCCCAAAGAGATCAAAAGCTATTCTGGGACTTGACTCACAGGCAAGCAGGCCCATCAATGTGCTTACATGTATATTCTCATAAACCTAATACATTTTAAGAAATCAGGTTAAGAGGTCTTTGGACGGATAAATGTTGGTAATACCTTCAACCAACTCAGAGGTGAAAAGGGACTAATAGAGAGATGTCTCTTCATAAAATTACTGGCTATTACAGTAAAGGACCTATGTTTGAGCCTCCTTCTCTTGCTAATGTGTCTGGCTGGTAACAAATACCACTGTCACAGTAGCAAAATCCTACCTTGTGTGAAAGAGATCATCTCTCTAGGAACAAGACATACTATAGCAATAACATTAGAAAACTTGTCTGGAGATAATGAAAAAATACTTAAGGTTTTGAGATTCTCCAAGGACAGTGAGCAAAGTCACACCATACCTTTCTGTACAGTTTGGCATTGACCTGCAAATAAAGAGAAAAAAAGAAAAAGCATTATGGGGCAGATATCAGTCCTCCCTCATGTTATGAATTGTCTGATCTGGTAGTGCCACAGAGGCTGCTGCAGCTCTATGCCCTGAGGTCCAGCCATACCAGGAACAAGCACATATTCCCAACAGGCACACTTTACATATATACACAAAGAGAAAACACAGTACAGGCAAGCACAACCAGCACCAAAAGTGTCATCCCATTCCCCTTTCTGGCTAATCAGGATGAAAGACCACTGATTAAAAAGAAGTATAGGTGGATCCCTCCAGTAGCTCAGCTTAGACACACTGGAACCCCAGCAGCTAGGCACAGTTTGCCTAGTAGCTGGTCCCTGGATCCACTGATCTCCCAGTTGCCTCATGCGCTGACACACATGCTGGTCTCTCTGGTAGCCAGCCCAGACCTAGGGACTCACTGGTAGCCAAGCCCCAGACACTGTGGTCTTCCCTAGCTGGCTTGGACCTTCTGGTTCCTTCCAGTAGTCAACTCTGAGACCCTCCAGTCTCTTCAATATCCAGCCCAGGATCACAGCCACTTAAATACTCAGCTCCCAAATATTTTGTCCTGTTCACTGCTAGTCCAGCTTGGTGTTTGCTAGCAATTGCACACACTGACATACACACACCAGGCACATGCACTCTGGTCCCTCCAGCTGCTGCACCCCAGACACACAAACCCCTCTGACCCGTGGTCTCGCACCAGTCTCTGGTATGTGGAGCCCCATACACGCCCATCCACACACAAAAAAAGAGAGACCCTCACCCAGGCAAAGAGTTGGAAATGGAGTTTAATAAGAAGACAGGACAGACTTCAGGGATCAGGTGCAGGGCATGGCCAGACAAGCACACTGACCAGCCAGTCTTTGATCCACGTTAAAAAGGGAGGGCTTGACAATATCGCTGAAGTGTGGTTGTGTAAGAAATCAGGCCTATGTTTGAAAAAGATGTTGAGCTGCCCAGCCCTGACAACTTGACAATATTTCTAGGCATGCTTAAAAACTGTAAGTTAGGTGCCTAGGAAATTTCACTAATGAAAATGTAGGTCTTTAGTAATCTGGTTTAGTCTAAATGTCCATGTGAGTCCTTCTGTACATACCAAGATGCCTTATGGATCTTCCTCTAACACTGAGCCAGCAGTGTGCCCAGGTGGCCAAGTAATCCAACAGCATCCTGGCTTATATCAGGAATAGTGTGGCCAGCAGGAGCAGGGAGGTGATTGTGCCCCTGTACTCAGCGCTGGTGAGGCCGCACCTGGAATAGTGTCCAGTTTTGGGCCCCTCACTACAAGAAAGACATTGAGGTGCTGGAGCGTGTTCAGAGAAGGGCAACAAGGCTAGTGAAGGGTCTAGAGAACAGGTCTTCTGAGGAGCAGCTGAGGGAACTGGGGTTGTTTAGCCTGGAGAAGAGGAGGCTGAGGGGAGACCTTATCGCTCTCTACAACTACCAGGTGGGTGTTGGTCTCTTCTTCCAAGTAGCTAGCAATAGGACAAGAGGAAATGGGCTCAAACTGCATCAGGGGAGGTTTAGGTTGGATATTAGGAAAAATTTCTTCAACGAACGGGTAGCCAAGCATTGGAACAGGCTGCCCAGAGAGGTGGTGTAGTTGCCATCCCTGGAAGAGTTCAAAAAACGGGTAGACGTGGCACTCTGGGACATGGTTTAGTGGGCATGGTGGTGTTGGACTGATGATTGGAATGATGATCTTAGAGATCCTTTCCAATCTTAGTGATTCCTGGTTTTTCCTTTCATTATAAATGATCCAGCCACTAAGCCAGGAGGCGTGGGTTGCTACTTACCCTCAATTGGTTTAGCGGTGGACTTGGTAATGTTAGGTTAATGGTTGGACTGATCTTAAAGGTCTTTTCCAACCTAAACAATTCTATGATTCTATGATTCTAAATCTATCGGTCCCACATAATGCTGTGCATACTTTTCCTGTAAAGCAATTAAGCCTTTGGTGGATATGAGGGGACATATTTCTTCCCCATCCTACTTCATCCTATTTCTAGCAACTGCATTTTATAATCCTTTTAATAACATCTTAAACCTAATTATTTCCCTCCCCAACTACTCTCACGGGAAAGCTTTTCCAAAAGCTCGCTCCTCTAATGGCTAGAAATTGCCTTTTAATTTCCTGCCTAAAAGTATTCGTGGCCAGTTTATATCCATGTGGTGTTGTTCCAGCACTGTCCTTTAACTCAAATAGCTCTCTGTGCTCCCTGGTGCATGCCTTCATCGAGTGTTTGCAGAAAGCAATCAGATCCTCCCCTTAGCTTTCTATTTACTAGGTCAAATAAAGGAAGCTCACTCGATTTTGAAGGAACATGGTTTGATGACCCAGGAGAGGTCTCTTTTGCTCCTGTATCCAATGATTCTATGTTGCCCTTCTCTGATACTGGCAACTAAAGAAAAATATTGCTACCAAGGTATCAGAGCTATTTTCACTGGTGCCTCATAGGAGCTAAGCCACTATGTGCAGGCTTTTTAAATGCCAACAGGTCTGCTTTCCTTGTGATGTAATGGGGATCTAGCTATGTTGCTGTTTCTTCTAACTCTCACTGGGTGGGACAGGCACCTAGCTTCTTGCTCAGTGAATTAAGCATTTGTCCTCGTAAAACCAAATTCATTATGTTTTCTCTTTTCCTACTAAGGGAAGTTTAAACTTCCACTCCCAGCATATTTGTTTAAATGCAATCATCTGCATATGTGTTGCTAATGAGTTGATCATTCTTTACCCAAAATAAAATCATTATAATGACAACAAAATTAACCTTGGAATTTTATCTCAGAGGGAGACATTTAATTGGAGATGAGTCTGGTTCTGTATTATGAATTGTCATTGATCCACATTACCTCATAAAATAAATGAGGGATCAGAACTAGCAGAAAGAGCCCATCTGGAACACCAGCAAGTCCTGGTGAGCAGCAAGCTGGAAAAAATTATATCCATACAAACTCCTTTCCTGGCTTGGTACATTATGCTAATAGCAATAAACAATACCTGCTTCATCAACAGTGCCTTCCATTACAGGATTTCAGTGTTTCCCTTAGTTAGGCAAAATCCCCCCAGTGAGTTAATTATTAAGGTCAAGGTATTTCTAAAAAAGCTTCATCTCAGCCAGATACTGGATGTCGTTTTACATCTGGGGATAATCAAGGAATAGCATTTTGTACAATGCTAGCTGGGAAAGAGGAAGGGGTGATTACTTGTTAGTAAGAGCTCCAGAAATTAATTGTGCTGATAAAATTGGATGTCACTTCCTCCCTGAATCTGGATAGTCTTATATCCCAACGCCATCACACCCACAACAACTTGTGAGGCCTTGGACACGAGTCTGGAGCCAGCCAAATGTTCCATACAGAGGGGAAAACTTGGTGTAGATGGGACTGGCTTGAGTTCAGCCATGTCCCAACAAGCAGAGTGACACTATCTTCGGTTATCACCAGGGTCATTAGCAGTGAATCTCCTTCACTACCTTGAAGGGTGGCTAAGAAATGTCTGACACTTTTTTCTCTCCTCAGCATAAAATGACTGCATTGTAGCTATTATTTCAGACTAGAGGGTCGTGTGTGCTGAGAGCAGTTCTTCATGGGTGTATTTGGGGACTATGAATGGTCTTTCCACAACTGCACGCATTTCCTTAAAGGTAAGAGCCATTTCCTCTTTGCTGGCTCCTTGACCAAGCTAGAAATGTCCTTTTTTTTTGTCTCTCTGACATGCACTGATCAAATAACGAAACTGAGGCACACACAACCTTCCAGACTGCTATTACTGTGCAGGAATGCTATAGCCATCAGTCAGTTTGATACGTGGCACAAACATATTCTCGATGGTGTCTCAGTATTCTGCTTATTCAGCTGGAGCAAAAAGGTACTCTGGCAACATGTTGGAACAAGCAGAGGAAACCAAAGGGAAAATGCAGCGGGCGGGGTCTGGGCACGGTGCTGCGTCTTCCCCCTGCTCTGGCTCTCTGAGCAGCAGCAGTCTTACTGTGTTTAGCAGATGCCTCTTTCTGCCCAGCTGGCCAGAAAGGAGAGGTGTCAAGAGGCACGGGATGGCTGATGGAAGAGACATGCAAAACTTTGCTAAGTCATCTGCTGTAGCTGGGTTCACAAGAGGACTGGATCGTTTTGTGAGTACAAGTGGATGTTAGCACAGGAGAGGTAAAGACAGCTCAGGTTTCAGACTGCCTGCTACCCGGCTTCTACACTTTGTTATTTTTACCACACTTACAGGGAGAGGCAATCTATTAAGCAACATGGCTATTACTCATTAACAAAGATGCTGACTGAAGAGGATAGATTTCTTTTCCAGATGAGGAACCCAAATCCATATAAACCTTTCCCATGGCAACTGAAGTTGTTCATCTCAGTATGTGATAAGCAGGGGTGATTCGTCAGCAAAGGATAAAGCTTTTCCAGTGCTTTTGACCCAGGGTTTCCCTCACAAGCTCAGAGCTACCCAAACTCACTCATTGACTAGCAACAAAACTGATTTCTTCCTCCTGGGTCCTAGAACTAGATCTGAGCCTAAACTTAGGTCTAAGCTTCACATTTTTGCAGCATACTGTGCTGTTTTCTCCCTGTCTCTCTCTGCCAGAGACATCTATGCAGCTTCTTCTGCAGTCTCAGAGGCCAGCTCTGCCCGAACCGTAGCACATCTCCCCACCACAGCCCCCTGCAAGCTGCCACATGAGCTGTACCTCAGCCACGGCTCTGCCATGTAAACACCCAGGAGTGAGACAGCTTGAGCATTCAGGTTATCAGGAGTTAATATACATAAAAGCAAGAGAGAGAAGGTCTGGTTTATACTAGACCTTGCTTTATAGCGAGTCTTAAATGTGTATGTGTGCTGATGTGGTCTTTGGACTTTTCTTGTGTTTCCTAATGCCAATACTTGCATATGTTTTGGAGGGTGTGGTTCTGCAAGGGCCAAAGATAATTCTCCAGTGCATGTACTCATATAAATAAGTG